CATTCTTTCTTTTATGTGTAAAAATTCTAGAACTTACAAGTCTAAGCAATATTAAAAGTATTTTTGGGTTGTTTTAATCCAACAGAAGCAGACATAACAGAATGTGAATTTCTAATCATAGATGGGAAAACAACAATTCTTAAATTATAAATTTCAAGACAACTAAAACCATGAGAATTGAACCGAATGCAATTTTTTTAAGGTTAAAAAGATAATGAACCTTACATTAATGTTAGTAGAACTTATCCACATAGTAACACAAAAAGTAAGGAAGATATCACAAATAACTTAAGTAACACAAAAAGTAGGAAAGATATTACAAATAATAAGGGAAACATTCTAGAACATACAGAAAAAAGAAACTTACAATAGTTAAAGCACAATAAACAATATAAGCAGGAATCGAGAGACCATAAACTATGAGAACAGTGCTAATACTAATAATATGCAAAGAGAAACCTATCTCGCTGGACAACGAGACGACACACAACTACCTACTTAACACCCTAATCCGCGAAAATCATATGTCAATCAAATTTATCATATTTATTTGGCCCTTAGTTTAATATGGTCTTGTTGTGGAATCCAACCACCTTGCCACACAAAAGAGCATTATTTGGAATCAGATATTCATCTTGTAAGGAGGTTGATGTTGTGTATACCCTCATGTATAGTTGTTGTCCGAGATACCGTCGCGCCCAAAACTCTGATCTTATGTTCCAAATTCCCACATTGTCTAATGCAATGTATATTGCTGTCCATGACCTCGGATACACCTACATTTTCCAATATTTTCTCATGTTATTCTTTTTTCTTAGGAAATAAATTATTTCATATTATATGAATTAATCTGATCACCTGAGTTGTGCTACGTGAAACTGCATCACGAAGATTGTATTGGTCCCTGCTTGCAGAAGTCCAGTGTCCTCCGTCCATGCTAACATTTAACATCAGGAATAATTCACAGTCAAAATTAAACATAACTCAATAGCACTCCCTTCTTTATGTTTAATGTGATGATTTATAATCTAGTCAAACACCTTCACATAAATTGGGACGGAGGGAGTAATAACTAGAAATTGGAATAAATGACGAGTGTTCTTACCCTACTACCCAAAAGGCGTAACCAGCAATATGCCAACTTTGGACGATACTCTCCTTGTTCTCGAATACAATCTCAATGAATGTCCTATAGTCAGTTTGCAAAACAGATGTGTTGAGGTGAATTCTTCCACCGATGGGGACATCATGTATGTTTCCGGGGTAGAATCCTCCTATCTTGAAGTAGTCAGCGAGCTTCAATGGAGTATCATCAGTGGGCACAAACGACACACTATTGACAGCATATCTCTGCTCACCATTCACCTGGCCAGCAGAAGTTGCAAGTCTGATAGTTCTAGTTGTATTGATCATACCATAATGGTACGCGCCTTGTGGGTTAGGCCTTGGTCCATTAGCTGTCAAGTTAGTCCTAATCAAAGACACGAAAAAAAATGAGTACCAAGTTGTATTAGAAGAGCGAAATATGACAAGTAAAGTGGAGAAAACAAGTCCACACCTGATAGAACGGGCCTGGTGAAGAGACCAACCAACTTCAATGGTTGGTCCACTAGGGATCGGGCCAGAGACCGTGCTGTTAGAGGTGCTGTAGTGAAGTACACCTGTGGTAGTCAGAACCTTAGATGTGAAACGAGATGAAACAACAATGTAGTAGTCCTTAGGAGCTTGATCAGCTGTGATGAGGACAGAGTAGGATTGTCCAACATGAACGTCAAGTGAGGTATACGTCTCTTGCATTGTGTGTGTACCCTCTACTTCCACCAACGTCATGTTGTGTCCTTCAACACGGAAGTTCAATGAATTTTCCAATCCAACATTCGATATCCTTAGTCTATACGTTTGCCCTGCATTCATAAATAGAGATACTCATTGTTAGATATTCCTTTTCTAACTCTGTTATACAAGAAGAATTACGACATCTGCAGTTGTATTTACCTTGATCAACTGTGTAGGAAGCGCCATTAGGGCCACGACCATTGATAAGAATACCATCAGGAAAAGGCAACTTGTGGCCTCTGTCAAGAATTGCTTTAAGGTTCTGTATAAATGTATATTTTAAATAGTAAAACCAAGTAAGTATCAGAACAAATCGTCAACAAATATAATGACATCTAGCATGAAAAATTCATTTACAAGTACCGTGTGATTTCTCTTGTACCAATCTCCAATAAGGGCGATGAAATCGCCAGAATAAGCAGGGAGAGGAACAGTTACAAAAGGTCCACTAAAGATCCTGATGGATCCAAAACCACCAGCAGCTTTGTGAAATGCAGTTGAAGGGAAATAGTAAAAGCTTCCTATTTGATCCTTCATTTGCAAACGGTATGTGAAATTCTTCCCTGGTGGTATGGGGCACGTCGTGCCCCATACTCCGTCTTGGAATGAATTTCTCCTGTTTTGCACTCCATGCCTATATAGATTTCACAAATAATAGACATGTAACGAGTGATAAAAGAACGATATAAGGAGCTCAAGAGCATGTGTGACCATTTCATCTATAGATATTTTTATTCATTTAATAATATCGACGATAACAAATGAAGTAAGTGAGGCAAAATTACCATGAAATAAGAAAATCATCATCTAAATTGTTGAAGACATTGATAATAATATTGTCATTTGTGACAGAAATAATATCAGGTCCAGGAAACTGCCCATTGATCAAAATTCCCTATACACAATAAAAAAAACACAAAACATTACTATAAAATCATCACAATTATAAAATCGAATCTCCAAAATGTTATCTGCACATAAAGTAGACTATCTATATCACATCCGTTCCAGAACACGAAAATTAAACAAACAAACCTGTTGTGGAACACCAAGAGGAGAAATAGTACCATAAGTAACATTCCATTCGTAGAATCTATAAGGATTCTCAGCCACTATACTATTCACAATGAGAAATGAGACCAAAAAAACTACTATCAATTTGTTTAGCAGCATATTTTTTTCTTCTTGATTTTATCTTAATAGAGATGTTGAATTAACTCTCATATTTAAAGTAAAAAAAAAGTTGCATAGAGTCCTAAAAGCTAAAGACTCTACAACTACTTTTTCAAATTTTAACTTACCTAGAGAAAATTGCTCCATTCCCTTACTATTTTACCTACACAGTAGTTTTCACTAAAAAGTAAAAAGAATAAATATAAATAAAAATGTCACATTTTAGAAATTTTAATACCAGCGTTGATAATTATTTTTCAACCATCTCCCTAATATTAGCCATGTTGTCATTTGAAGAAGGTCTAATAAATAAGATAATGAGTATAGAAAATAGTTCAGTTTTGGATTTATTATTTTTTTCTAAATGAACATAAAAAATAAAATAAAAAGCTACAACGTAGAGAGTAATTAACTACACAAATCAAAGGTATTTTTTTATTTTTTGGAAACTTTATTTAATTAAAAGTAGAAATAATTAGTGTTGGGATTTGAAAAAAATATCAGAGAAAAGGGTAAATTTTGGAAAAATAAAATACTGAATAGTAACATTTTTGGGAGTTGAAAATTTTATTTTTGAAGGGATAATAATTTGTTACTCTCCAATTCCAATTTAAGTGGCTTAATTCAACTAGGCACAAAATTTTAAAAAATAATATAAATCCCTAAATATTGTGATTTAGATTTAAAATGTATATAATGTACTAAAATGCATTTTACATAATAGGTCTTAAAGAATCTAGGTAGAACATTGAAATTATATGGAGAGTTAGTAAATATAGAGACATTTTAAAAAGAAAAGAAAAACTACCAAAAGAAAATGTCAAATATTTAAACCGTGGAAACATTTGTTTTTCTTCCTTATTATATGCAACTAATTAAAATTCATGCATTATAGAGGGGATATTCCTAACAAAATTTTCTCCATTCTAAGGAGCTTGAACTTTAGACTTTTAGTTAAAAATAGAAGAATCATAACATAATCATTGCACCATAATTTATGTTAATAAATAAATAAGAGTTGACATGTTAAATTAAAAATGTGACATAATTTTATTGGTCCATGTATAATTTTTGTTGAACTTATAACTATCACACAAAGTTCAAAGCTCAATGTTGACTTCTTAATTATCAGATCCAAACCCTAATTGTGTGAGGAAATCTATGAAAAAATAAAACTTGAAGTGCACTTCATGCTGAGTTGATGCACAAATAATTGTTTATACCAAGTGTTAATATAATAATATAATAAGACAATTTTGACTTAATAATATTAAGATAAGTTGTTTTAATGCCATAATAAGTCAACTCTACTAATTAAGATAAAGCATAGGGAAGGAGGCAAAGCACTTTTTAAAAATATTCCCATAAATTTATTTGGGTTAGATATCAATCTAAACTTTGATGAGCTATAATATGGAGCTATGAAATACTGAGTTAATAAATCAATAATCAATTTAAACTTGGACGAATTAAAATATCATCAATTAACCAAATCGTTAAAACCACCTCCCCTATCTACATGCAACAACAATAACAACTCTACAAAGTCATAATCGAATCTTTCTGTTGAATAAAATGTGATCGATTAACCAAATTTCACTATCTACATGCAACAACCATAACAGCTCTACAAAGTCATAATCGAATCTTTCTGTTGAATAAAATGTGATCGATTAACCAAATTTCACTATCTACATGCAACAACCATAACAGCTCTACAAAGTCATAATCGAATCTTTCTGTTGAATAAAATGTGATCGATTAACCAAATTTCACTATCTACATGCAACAACAATAACAGCTCTACAAAGTCATAATCGAATCTTTTTGTTGAATAAAATGTGACCGATTAACCAAACCAATAAAACCACTTCCCCTATCCACATGCAACGACAATAACAACACTAAAAAGTCATAATCGAATCTTTTTGTGGAATAATAATTCAAGGATGTGGATAAATCCAACATGTGACATGTTATAAACAAAATACTAATGTAACTCAAAAACATATATGAAACTTATGTCTCAACAAATACATAATGTATTATTTACAAGAAACTCAAATGTCAATCAAAATATATTACAACATTCCCCTTGAAACCATGATGTTACACTTACACTAAGAACTAAATGTATATTCAACATGAAACAGAGATAGTCGAAAAATTGTTGCACAACACTACTTGGAAACAAAGGGTTTTCCCACCTACGAATCATTTGGGAAATTCGTATGAAAACTTAGTTTTCAGTACACTTTTGCTTTACCAGAAAGACTTTACATAACTCGTGAAATCCTTCTTGATCGATCTCCCAACTTTATTCTCATACTCCAATCGAATTCCCCAACATAGTTCCCTGTAAAATGAAGATACCTTCAAAAGGTAATAATCATTTGGGTTCTTCCCTTCTTTATTGTCAAATGCGCGCCACAATGTTTCAAATGGTATGTAGATGAAGTACATGGAAGAAGGAAGCTTAGGACAATATTCACGGATGACATACTTCAAGGAATGTTTTCTTTCAGGGTCCGATTTTCAGACCAACGTAGCTATTAAACTCACATTTGCTTCAAGTACAGGACAATAACACAGTGAAAACCCCATGAACTTATCGGTATACCAAGATGGTTTCAGATCAATTGAGATCACTTTTTGATTTATGAACTGATAATCGAACAACTCTGGAATTCTGACTTCAGGAAAACAAATGAGAAAAGAAATCCTTTGGCGGAAGTCACACTGCAATAGAAACTACTATTAGTACAAATCAATTTGACGAGAATATTCAACATTCATATGTGTATGGATAGCTAAAAAACCTGGATGCATGTCTGGAGAAAATGTCGTAGCAACTTCAACACATTAACTTGTTCACTTGAGACAGTTTGGCATTCGGATTTCTCATGACCACGCCATGATATTGACAAGATACGCAGCTTAAGACACTTATTTACTAGATCTCCGAGGCTCTTCAAGTGTCTCAAACTCTTGCAGATCACCAACGTTTCCTGGAAGCTTTTTGCAGCCACGAAGAATAAGCCGTTGAAGATTCTTCAACTTACAGAGGCTGTTTGATAGACTTACAAGATCTTCACAACCTTTCAGATTGAGATATTCGAGGCCACTCAGATTCCCAATGGACAAAGGCAGTTCTCTAATCCCAGTAGACTCCAGAGTCAAACTTTTCAAGCAATGCATATCTCCGATTATTTCTGGAAATGTAGTTAATTTTGGGCAATTAGATATCTTGAGCTCTGTAAGGGATTCCATCTGAATAGAGCTTGGAAGCTTCGTTAAGTTCTCACATTCTTCTACGGATAAAAAACCAAGTTTCTTTTGAACTCCAAGAGATACGGGGAGCTCTACCAATCCAGAACATCGGTATATATAAAGAAATATCCATTGTTGTGATTCAAAGAGGCTGTTTGGCAAAGTTGTAAGTTTATTGCAACCTGAAATGTGAAGTCTTTCAAGATTTAGAATAGAGTCTGGAATACTTTCAAGAACTTCACAACCTTTCAGTTTCAAACGACTAAGGCCGCTGAGAGACGGGGGTAAGCTTCTTATCCAGGGGGATTCTACATACAGTATTGATAAGCGCCGCATATCTCCACAGATTTTTGGAAATCTTTTTAAGCTCGTGCATTCATCAAGGAGAAGAATCTCGAGAGATTCCATGCAGACAAATTTTGGAAGCTTCTTAAGTTTGACACAACCCGTCAAACTCAAATAAGTAAGCATTTTGCAATGTCCAAGATAGGGATGAACCACTTCCAAATTCTCACACCTCCGTAAACTTAGTGTCTCCAAGTTTGGCATATCACCAAAATTAGGGGTCTTCGTTAGCCCAAGGCTCTCGCTTAGATTCAAATACTTCAAGTTGCACAGTTTCTGTTTTCATAAAAATAACAAAATATTAAAACATAACGTACCTGCGAATTACCAGTTAGCTCAAGTAGTACTCCTAATAGAAATATGCTATTCTATTTCTGTTACATGATGTAAATTGCTTATACAAAAGCATTTATTTGGTATAGCATTTGAACCATAGCGCGTGATAAACTGGAGCTATTGTTTTGGAGAGAAAGAAATCACTATACCTTTGGTATTGGCCAAAGTTCAACAAGCCAACTTCCACGTAAACAAAGCCCAACGAGTTGTGATGGTTCAAACCCCTCTGGCAATGAACTTGAAGGATAGTTCGGCCATTCAATCCACCGCAGGTTAGAAGGCAAACAAGTGACAGTGCTTTCCGAGCAAATAGTTCTACGATGAAGTATCAACACCTGTAAGCATTGCATTCTCTTGAATACCTTGTTATAATTGATATGATCATCATCAAACCGGTAACCATTTGGGATCCGTAGGCTTTCAACCTTTTTTGTTTTCTGTAAGGAAAGAAACATATATCTATTTGTCAAAAAAACTCAACATAACGAAGTCACAAAATACTAAGAGCTTCTTAAATTATCAATTTTTTTGATAAAATATTTCTTACCAACTTTCCAGCAAAAAGGTCATGAACTTCCTCAATAAGCCATACTCTGCTGTTTGCATATTCTTCCCTCGACACATTTTGACCCGTTTGACTTATCAAACTATGCATCTCAAACGAGTGATATCTGATGCATAAGAGAGATTTTTCGATGAGGTAGCTTATTCCTATCAAGTGAATACCACAACTCTTAAGTATTCGTTCAACGTAATAGCTATATTCATGATTGTACAAGCATGCTATATCAAGGAATGTTCTCATCTCATCGTTATTCAACCCATCTAGACCAATCTTAAGTTTTCCTAGAATGTCATCATTAGGGATTCTTTTCAATCTATCAATTATATCTCTACATTGCTCTTTGTTTCGTCCATAAAGAGAAGAACCCAAAACTTTAAGAGCTAAAGGGAGTCCATCAGCATACTTCACTACTTCATTTGAAAGTACCTTAAAATCTCTCTCCGGAGATTTTCTTTTGAAAGCATGCATGCAAAACAGTTCAAGAGCTTCGTTCTCAGATAATAGTAAGACTTCGTATACTTTATCCTCCTTCACATGACTGACTATCAGGTGTTTGTCTCTCGTGGTAATCAAAATTCTACTACCCCTGCCAAACCACTCTGTCCCTCCAACTATAAGCTCTAGTTGACTTAGATGGTCTATGTTGTCAAGAACGAGTAAAACTTTCTTCCACCGAAGCCCATTCTTTATAATTGTGGTTCCATCATGCTCACTAGTTACAATCATCTTTTTTCCAAATAGTTTGCAGATAAGAGTTTTCTGTAGCCATCTAAGTCCCTTTTTCCGGTACATTTCTCCAACATCACCAAGAAAACAATAAGCTTCAAATTGATGACGGTATCTCTCATATATAACACTCGCGATTTCTGTCTTACCAATACCACTCATTCCCCATAATCCAACGAAGTAAACATCATCAGATTTCATATGTAATAATGAGATTACTTTTTCAATTTGAGTACCCACTAAGCTTTCCGAAACGGTTGAAATAATGTTTGGTAATATGTGATCAACAACCTTCTTGATGCAATTTGCCTCATCCCTAAACGACAATGAAATGAACAACTACTTAGAGATCAAATAAGATTATAGAGTTCTTTACATTTAGCACCCAAGTGTGTGCTCTCTTTTATGATTTATATCTTATTTTATTACTTCTAATGATTCTTTCACAACAACAACAACATATCCAGTGTAATCCCACAAGGGCTATCTGGGGAGGTTAGAGTGTACGCACACCTTACCCCTACCTCGGGGAGGTAGAGAGGTTGTTTCCAAAAGACCCTCAACATAAGTGCAGCAAACCAAAGCATTTACGAAAAAAGGGAAGGGAATATGACAGAAAATCAAAGTATTTACGAAAAAAGGATATGGTGCAAAAGAAAGAAATCTTACTTGCATTCTTGTAAATGGTAACCTGATATTTTCCCAGCTTCCTTACAAGCTTCTCTCCATCTTTGAACCTTCTCCAACTCATCATCTTTGTATTTTGAAAACGACTCAGCGAATGGTGAGTTTTGATGGCTTACATCAGATGGACTAACATCATAAAAAATTGGAATCACTATCTGATCTAATTCATTTCGACACTTTATAATATGTGCAAGCTCCTCCAAACACCATCTTGATGATGCATAGCTTTCGGAAAATATTACAATAGCAAATCTAGACTCTTCTATGGCTTTCATTAGTTCATTAGGAATTGATTTTCCCGTTTCCAACCGCTCATCGTCTTTAAAAACATCAATTCCTCTTTGTTCTAAAGCATTATAGAGATGGCTCACAAAGTTTCTACGTGTATCTATACCTCTAAAACTCAAAAAAACACCATATTTGCAAACTTTTGAAGAAGAAGCATGAGACATTGTCGAAAAATATTGCTAAAGACTACAACAACAACAACAACAACAACAAGAAACACACATAATAAAGAGCAAGACTTTAACATTTTTCACAATTCATAGTCTTTTATGGTAAACTTCTTATCATCTTCCTTATTAGAAGACTTATAACTTTGTTATTGACCAAAAACTAAAAGTCATTACATGTTTACAACTTAAAAGACCTTATTGTAGTATCTTTATTGCCTTAGGGTTTTCCATGCGTTATCTGGTATCCGCATTGGGACCTGACTAAATCTAAATTCGTGTCAGGAAGTCTTACATAGTGTACACATCTTTCTAATAAAAGAACTTTGTACTTGGGGGACTCGAACCCGGTCCTGGTTAAGTACGAAGTACTCCCTCTGTCCCAATTTATGTACACATTTCGTTTTTCAAGAGTCAAACCATCTAAGTTTGACCCAAAATATTTATATATTTGTAAACTATTTAAAAATTACTATAAGTCATAATAATTGACAATTCAAATTATTTAAAAAAATTATGGTCAAAAATACTGATTTGAATCTCGAAATCCGAAATGTGTTATGTGTCGCATAAATTGAGACAAAAGGACACTCACTACCCTCCTTGTTGTATGTATATTTAAAAGCTTGAAAATTGGGGGAAAATTTTAAGTTTCCCCATTATAACTTAATCATGCCTTTCTGTAAAATCATATAAATTAGATATTTCCCAGAAAATGAAGAAAAATTAAACAAAAATTTTGTAAGAGAACACAAAAGACTGACCTCAAAGATATTTATTGTTCCAAAAGAGTGTGAATTAGCATAAATATATATTGAAGAAACTTCTCCATTCAGCAGATTGAATTTTTTGGGGAAGATGAAGACAGAGGAGGTAGGTGAGTAGAAAGAACAATTTTTAAAATTTTTAATAACAAATTTGGTACGGTTAGAATCATCCGAATGAGGGTTAGAACCGTCAATATAAACTAAGCTTGTTTGATGACCTGGTCTAACCCATGATTTAATAAAATTAGGCAAAAAATAAAATTGGAGCTCATTTAAGAAGTTTAAGGGGAAATTAGATAAAATGTTTATTGGGTTAAATTTCTTATAAAAAAAAGTTAATTTAAAAAATAAGTCACTTATTATTGAATAAACAACACAAATTTCACTAATTTGATAGTTAATTATTTTCTCCCTTTAATTTACATAATTATGGATTGTACCAATTTTCTACATCAAATGTAGGTATTTGTCGCTTCCATATACATGTAAATGAAAGTCATATATTAAAAAAGAAATCATGTTTACAACATTTTTGCAATATTTAGGCACATCACAATTTGTAAAAATACCAAAACAATCAAAATTCTTCCATTTTTTTTTTGGAGAGATTCAACAAACTTTCAACTTCTTTTTCTACTTAATTCTTCTTCAATAATTTTGAGTTTTGTTCATTCCACAATGGATAATATCACTATTTTGTTGATATACTTCGGAACGTTAATTTCTGATGATATTTATGATAGATATAAAATTGATGGAATCATTCTCAAGTATACTGCTACTTACAGTGATATCGTTAAAGCCATTTTCAACACAACAACAAATCAATCACTATAAAATATATCAAAAAGTTATAAAGATATGTATCATTAATAAGCTAAAATTCATTCATATACATGTCTAGATACAAACAATCATGTATATAGTATCTAATGGCAAATACATGTATACGATCAGATACCTTGTTCTTAATGGACACAACTCAGAAATCAGACCAAAAATTATTATCTACATGTAGATATTTGACGGATACGTGAAGACTTACTATAGATACAGTGAAAAAAAGGAAGATACATTAACATGTTCAGATATATTGAAACTTGAGGGATATAACTCAGATACATAATTGAAGCTCTATTCATAAATCTTATGACGGATATATAAAGACTTACCCTAGATACAATAATAAAAGTTTAAGAAAATTCAAATTTCTTTCATTTTTTTCAAGCATCAAAAATCTTTTCTTATAGATACATATAATCTTAACCAAATACATTTACACTTTATCAAATATATGAACTCTTAATTAGAAACATGTGTATATTTTGTATACATATTTTAACCACCGTCTCTCCTCCTCCCTCTTCGTCTCTGTCCTCTCCAGTCAGAGATCGTCAATTTCGATGAAAACTCCACCAAACCAGCGAAGGGGAATTCTGCCAGCCATGGCATTGACAAACTGGAATTTTACTCCACCAAATCAGGGGAGAGACGTTTTGTTGGCCATGACATTGACGAACTGTAACTTGTGGTGGACCTTGTTGTTTGGTTGCTATTTTATCTTTCTTCTTCATTGTTTATTCTATTTTTAAAAAAATTGACGGACAACAAATGTGGATCGTTTTAAGCAAGTTTTAAGCAAATTATTTATCAAAAGAATTAAAAGAACTAGAGGATTTCATATCTAATAGTTGAGACTATTTAGAGGACATTTTGAGTTGGTGGAGATTGAACAATCAATGTATACTTCATGTATTACTAAGTTATATTCAATTTTTTTTGAGTATATCATAATGTATATGCAGTGTTTAGTTTCTATTACTTTTGGCTATGTTTTATGCAAATAAAAACATGAATATATATATATACTAGATAATGTGGCCCGTGCTATAATATAAATGGTATGTTTTGGGCTAATAACCGAGTTTTTGAAACGATTGTTTGCGTGGATAAAGGAATAAGTTTTTTTATCACAAACCTTTACTTTCTTTGACGCTATTTAAGGCATAATAAGACTACCACATACAACATTTTTGAAATATTTTATGTTGTCAATTATCATGATTTATAGTAATTTTACGATAGATTCACTTCAAGAATCAGTGAAAAATTTTGTATTTTTTTCAAAACATATTTTATATTGTCAATTATCATGATTTATAGTATTTTTACGCAATTTTTAAATATAAAAAACACAAAAAAAAAACAAGACAAATAAATTAAAATGGACCCAATATATGTTATTTTTGTTGTATCAATTTATGTGACACAAATGAAATTTAAAGAGTCATCCAAATTTGCACTT